CCGCTGCCAACACTCCTGTTATATAAACCCATTTCACACTTGAGTGCAACTTATGTTAGGTGATTTTGAGGCTTTTTGTGCATGTTTCCCTGCACATGGAGTGTCAAACTGGTATTATAACAAAGTGAAAGCAACTGAGAAAAACAGCAACTCGGCCACGAAGTGGTATGCCATGTAAAATGACAGAGCGGGGTCTGCAGAGTCAATAGCTAAAGACCTCCACACTTCGTGTGGCCTTCAGGTTCAAACAGTGCGTAGAGAGCTTCATGAAGTGGGTTTCCATGGCCGAAACAACTGCATCCAAGCCTTACATCACCAAGTGCAAATGCAGTGGTGTAAAACATGCCACCACTGGACTCTAGAGCAGTGGAAATGTGTTCTCTGGAGTCACGAATCACACTTCTCTGTCTGGCAATCCGATGGATGTGTCTGAGTTTGGCTGTTGCCAGAAGAACAGTACTTGCCTGACAGCATTGTGTAAAGTTTGTTGGAGGGGGGATTATGGTGTGGGGTTGTCTTGCAGGGGTTGGGCTTGGCCCCGTAGTTCCACTGAAGGGGAATCTGAAGGCTTCAGCATACCAAGACGTTTTGGACAATATCCTGCTCCCATCTTTGTGGGAACAGTTTGGGGATGGCCCTTTCCTGTTCCAACATGACTGCACACCAGTGCACAAAGCGAGGTCCATAAAGACATGGATGAGTGAGTTTGGGGTGGAGGAACTTGACTGGCCTGCACAGAGTCCTAACTTCAACCAGAGAAAACACCTTTGGGATGAATTAGAGTGGAGACTGCCAGCCAGGCCTTCTCGTCTGACATCAGTGCCTGACCTCACAGATGCATAGACACATTGGAGTGTGTCTATGTCAAACACTCCCATAGACACACTCCTAAACCTTGTAGACAGCCTTTCCAGAAGAGTTGAGGCTGTTATAGATGCAAAGGGTAGGCCAACTCAAAACTGGGATGAATTAGAGGAGACTGCAAGCCACCTCACAAATGTGCTTCTGGAAGAATGGTCACACATTCCTAAACCTTGTGGACAGCCTTCCCAGAAGAGTTGAAGCTGTTCTAGCTGCAGAGGGTGGGCCAACTCAATACTGAATCCTACTGACTAGGGATGCCATTAAAGTTCATGTGTGTAAAGGCAGGCGTCCCAATACTTTTGGCAATATAGTGTATATTGAGCTTAGATGTACAAAATCGGTGTGAATAATCAGATATTTAATTGCCCTGTGTTGTGAAGCTTGGTAGTAGTTTCTAAAAAAAAAGGCAGGATTAAATTTATTGTATATACGCTCCTAACTTAGTATAAATGTTCCCATATTGTTAGCTTTGTATGCACAAGTGTATGCACATGACTTGGAAGACATCCGCCTTAAATTGAACTTACCATTAAAGCCCAATTATGCTTTAATTATCATATATTAGTCAGTTCTGTTGCTGTAGAGCCTTAAACATTTTTGGTACTTTTTCTTGGTCTTTGTTGCTTATTTCTTAACATTATTACCTATTTACTCCACTCCCGCAGTGGTGGGCCACTGCTCTGCACTGGCATCTTTTATACCTGTGGATATTACTCCTTCCCATGCAAACCACAAATCCTAGTATCCATTTTGGCTCAGGTTGTTGGTGGGATGGGGTGATGTACAAGTCTGCAATCCACCACGCTCACTCTCCCTGCTCAGGATTGTGCAGACGAAAACTTGTTCAGTGGGTGTGTTTTGACTCCTTCTGCTGGACTACTGGCCCTAAATGCATATTGGCAGTCTTCATCTGCAAGTTAGTATAACACATGGGGGGCCTCTAATAGAGGGATTGCTTAAAGTGTTACTATACCCATGACCCTGCATTTACTATATCTGGTCTCCCACTGTACACACAATATGGAAATGCAATTATTTTGAGTAAATATAAACTGCTAAATACCTTTTTCTCATCAGCAGTATATAGCAGTCTTGTGACTTCTATCAGTGTCCAGCTGAGCATTGGTTAAAGCTTGTAGGATGAGTTTTCATTCATTCTCTGACTGTCCTATGAGACTATATATATAAAAATGCAGTGCTATCTGATGTTATTATGTTATATGCAATTGAATGCAAATGGATATATGAAATAAAATAAATTATAGCAAATCACAGTCCACAAGAAAAAGTGCTCGTTGATTCCCTTTTTCTTGTGGACTTTTTCTTGTGGACTGTGATTTGCTATAATTTATTTTATTTCATATATCCATTTGCATTTAATTGCATATAGCATAATAACATCAGATAGCGCTGCATTTTTTATATATATATTCTTAGGGACTTTTTATGTTTTTCCTTGAATGCTCAGCTGCTATTGAGAGCGCTCACTGTATTTGTATATCTATGTCCTATGAGCCTGCATAACCCCTGACCCTCTGTCTAGACAGTGTTGATTGACCCAGTTCTGATCACATGCACCCTCCCAAAGAGAAAAAAAAATCTGTATAGCAATACACCTCAAACTGAGCATGTACAGAGTGACTCCTAGAACTTTGTACTATCAGCAGATGGATTGGGGACAGTAGAAGGGGAGGATCATAGAAGACAGGGTCAAACAGCCTTTTTACACAATGCAGAGGTTCCACAGGGAGTATAACAAGCATGCTTTACTGCATATACGGACTGATTTTACTGTTGTAGGCTTAGTAACACTTTAACACAACCAAGAGAGGAGACACTAGATTCATAATAGCCTGGAGTTTGCATGTTCTCCCTGTGCCTGCATGGATTTCCTCCGGGTACTCTGATTTCTTCCCACACTCCAAAGACCTGCTGGTAGGTTAATTGGATCCTGTCTAAATTGGCCCTTGTATATGAATGTGAGTTAGGGACCTTAGATTACACACCCCCAGAGGGTTAGTGACTGATGTGAATGTACAATATATATGTAAAGCGTTGCGTAAATTGACGGTGCTATATAAGTACCTGAAATAAATAAAAAATAATCGTTTCACGCACCTAGAATATATTGCAAGTGTTTGACAGGAGAGTTCAATCTGTCTCTAAAATTCCCAGAAACCATACATAAATGCAACACTGCTTTGCCAAATTTCATGAATAATTTTAGGGAAAAAAGTACATTGTATTTTTGATATGAATAAAAAAACTACATCTCCCGAGGTACTTTATGTGACTCAAAACCCAGTAAATAAATAGTCCATTGTTTCCTTTTCTGGTAGACTTACATTGAAATAGGAGGATAAGCAAAGTGCAACCATTGTGTAGCACTACTAAGCAAGAAGAGACTGCATAGCTAAAGACAAATGTGGACAAAATTACAAACTATATGCAGAAATTAGTTATTTTAACCTAATTGCACATTGAGAAGATTATTTACCTCTTGCTGATCTTTTATACATGTATTATGTAAAACATGTAAATATGACTTAGCCATACCAAGAATATAATTTTATTTCAAAACAGTGTTTTCTGTAATTTAGCTAAAATCTATTTTGTTGCCTGGAACTCTTGCTCAATGGACATTTGATGGCTTATACTCCAGCATTACTCAGTAGGTTTTTGCCTTGCATGCTGCAAGAAATCCTATTAGTTTTAAACAAAACTCAGGAATATGTAAGTTACCATTGCCAAACTCTTCTGAAAATGCTAGCTGTCTGGCTGTCATGCCAAACCAATGGCTCCAGTACTTTCTGGATCACAGACTTGGAAGAAATATGCAGACATTACACCAACATTTTAACTTGCTTGTTCCAGTTTAGGTGTCCGTTTATGAACCAGCGGTAATAGCTCATTGCTCAGTTCTCCGGCATTCTCGGAGAACACAGTTCTCCTGTGAATGCCTTTTTATGAAGCAGTTCTCCAAACGAAGGGAGAACAGTCTCCAAACGCTGGAGAACGGTCTCCAAATGCTGGAAAACAGCTCATTTTACTTTAATCTGGCGAGATTACAGTAAAAGATCAGTTTACTAAGCAGAGGTAAATTATCTCTGCTTCGTTTGCGGTTCCTCCGATTCTCCAGCTCTGGAGAATGTGGAGGGAGAACACAGATCTCCAGTGAAGGGCTGAACATGTTCTCCACTGATCTCCTGAGTGTCATAAACTGTGAATGACCAGAGAATAGCTGCCATCCTCTGAATTGCAGCTATTCTCTGTGTCATAAACGGACACCTTAGCGACGTTGGCAGTACTGAATTCAGAGACAGCTAGGTAACCTGTGTGGTGTTTTTTTTTTTTTTTTTTCTACATATGTTTAAAAATGATTACCTTTCAACACAAGAGGAATATTGTATCAACAATGCTTATAGTTAATCTAAACTGGATAGACGTGTCCAGTTTTTTTTTTCAGTTAACCAGCAGGTTAAATGAAAAAACTCACAGCATTTCCCCATCCACACTCCATGTGTATGGGGGAATCCTTCCCGCTTTGTCTGCTGTCCAAATACACAGATCACCTACAAGCTATAGCCTGCGGTGCTGATTGAGCAGAAATTTTCCAACGGTGTCAGGATCAACAGGTATTTTTTTGATTTATTGAAGATATATATAACAAAAATGCTTTCCATGCAAAAATTTAAAAGACAAAAAGAGAACTAAGAGAAGCTCATTGTAAGTTTGCATACACTTTAATTCCGAATGTCATTTTTGCACTTCGTAGAGGGAGAAATGAATGGCTGTAACTTTGCAGGTGTAATGAATCAATAACTTCTTAAATGTACTGTCGAAATAGTCAAAATTCCAGTCAAATCTAAAGTTAAAGTGGAGTTCCAGTTGAATAAAAAAAATAAGTCAGCAGCTACAAAAACTGTAGCTGCTGACTTTTAACCGCCTCCTGCCCACCATATAGTGCATGGCAGTTCTCTCGTTCTGGGAGGACATCATATGACGTCCTCCCATTCTAACCGTGCATGCGCGGCTCCGGGGGCGCGCAGCGTGGCGATCAGCAGTGCGCTGTGTCCCTCGGACACAGCGGATCACCGATCCACGGAAAGAGCCAAAGATGTTGGCTCGGTCATGTGATCAGCTGTGTCCAATCACAACTGATCACATGTAAACAGGGAAATGCCAGTTATTGGCATTTCTCTCCCCACGAGCTGTCACGCTGAAAGCACATGAGGAGAGGAGAGCCAGTAATTGGCATCCCTCAGAGGGGACATGTACACAGATCATCAGAGCACTGATGATCAGTGTACCCTGATGATTTGTGTAGCCCCAGCAGTGCCACCTGTCAGTGTCCATCAGTGCCCATCTGAGCTGCCTTTCAGTGCTGCCTATCAGTGCCATATATGAGTGCTAGCTTTCAGTGCCCATCAGTGATGCCTGTCAATGCCCATCAGTGCCACCTACCAGTGCCTTCTCATCAGTGTCCATCAGTGCAGCCTACCAGTGCCCATCACTGCAGCCTCATTAGTGCACATCAGTGAAGGAAAAAAATCATTTATTTACAAAATTTTATAACAAACTAAAACTTTTTTTCAAAATTTTCAGTGGTTTTTGGTTTAAGAAAAAATAAACTCAGAGGTGATTAAATACCACAAAATAAAGCTCTGTCACAAAAAAATGATAAAAATTTCATATGGTTACAGTGTTGCATGACTGCGCATTGTCATTCAAAGTGCTACAGCACTGAAAGCTGGAAAAAGGCTTGGACAGGAAGGGGGTTGAAGTGCCTGGTAGGCTAGTGGCTAAAATACAGACACTTACCTGTCCCTCGGTCCAGCAGTATCCCCACCACGGCTGTTTTCACCAGCTGTCTTCTGTCCCCTGGTCCCTGTCGTCTTCTGGGACCTGTCACGTGCCCCAGAAGAATACGGGGAGGGGGGAGGGAAGACAACTTCCACTTCCAATCGCCTTAGGCGATTGCAACGGAAGTGGGAGCTGGTACCTGTCAAATTCCCCCCCCCCGCACCCCTAAAGGTGCCAATCCTTAACGGGGAGTGAGGACAGGCTTAAAGCGGAACTTCCTATTGTGGGTGGAGCTCTGCTTTAAACCCCATTCTATAGTAATTACACTATATAGAAAAGGTGTATACTTATACTGAGGGTGCTCAGGTCCAGTCACATGATCAGCCCCCAGCAATAGTTTCAATGTAGAAGAGGGACAGCTGACAATGGATGTCCCATAGTAAGCCTATGGGTGACATCATTGCAGCTGTTGTCGGCGATCTCTCCTTTTTACTGAAGCTGGCTGTTGGGGAGATCAGGTGACATCTTTGCTTTACAGTGTAGTTAGTATAGGGTTTAGAATGGGGGTGAGATTTGACTGGACTTCTACTTTAGCTTTTTTTTTTTTTTTTTTCAGAATTAAAGTGAGACTTTGTACAGCTATTCCTCAATGGAATTGATTATTAAATCAGATTGTGCATGTGAAAATCTCAACTTTCTAGTTGATGGGGGAGATTTACAAATCATTACACAAGGACACAATTGTGGATATAAATTTCTCGTAATTGCTAAATAAAGAAGAAAATGTTGGAAAGTGTAAAAAAATTAAAAAATTTGGTGATTCTTTGTAAATCTCCCCCATTGTGTTTTGACCAGAAGTTGGCACCATTATTAGAGGAAACTAGCATTTTTTATGATTTTGGATTCGTACTTACTTGAACCTGTAATCATAAAAGTACACTATGTAATAGACAACTATATCATCTGCCAAACAAAGCCCTGTTTTGTACTCATACAGGTTTAACTAGGGCGTGAACACCTGTTGTTTTTTTGCATACAACAGCTGGAAGTGGGAAGGGCTGAAATACAATGTAGAGATCTTTAAGAAAAAAAGTCATTTGGGAAATGTCAAACATCAACTCTGGGCACAAAGAAAATCATGTAGCCACAATGAACTATTGCTCACATTAGTACAATGTTGTGTCTTTCTTTAAAGGGTAGAAGTTCTAAAGGGCCCTCTGCACACTGGTATATACTCTTTCAAGCAGACTCTGCAATAAATAGGGATTTTTAGTTCACACATATTGCAATACATATTGAAGCTGGCCAACTGCGTCAAAGTAATCCCTCTGACCAGTTTTAAACAAGTTTTATCTTCGTGTATTTAATTGTGACCCGCATTTTTGCCACACACGAATGGTAAATGGACAACTGATATTTCAGATAACTGGCACATTATACAATATAAACTGTATGTATGATAGGCCTACTTGGAGCCTTCGTGGATTTGGGTCTTGCATGCATCTGTTGCTAGCAGTGTTCCTATGCTTGTGCCAGTCCTACTGCCGCAGTTACTTAAAAGGATGTGGTGTATGTTTTGACACCATTTGTCAATCAAGTACAAAGCAGGAAAGAGACGCATGTTAGGCGCTGCTGGACAGAAACCAATGTTTGCACATGGCACTTTGGTAAGAACAATCAGTTACCTGTGTTGTGGATGGCTTCAATGCCAGGCTGTGGATGTCAGGATGTCTTAAGGGCAATAAAACTGTGGTGAACTGCAAGCAATTGTTCTTGCCTTGAGTAAGTTAAGTAGGCAGACAAATCCTGGCATTTTTTGTTTTAATTGGGAGGGTGTTATATTTTAGCACTTACCTTTCCTTGGAAAAATTTTGCAGACCTTCATGGATGCGTTGTCCATGCCCAGGGGCGGACTGACAACTCATGGAGCCCCCAGGCAATAGGGGATCACGGGGGCCCCTGTGTCCTTCCCAAACTCAAAAAAAGCCTATGAAAAAGGTACCAGGGGCATCTCATGGGGCCCGCTACTGACCTCAGGTCCTCGGGCAGTGCCTGAGTTTCCAAATGGTCAGTCCGCCCCTGTCCATGCCTTGAAAATGCCGAAAAACAAATGTCTTTAGGCTTCAATCTGAATACTACAGGCATGTATGTACACCTGAATTCTGTTTGCTTTTCTTTTCCACTGATTATATTACAAACTAAAACACAGACTAACTTGTCCTGTTCATATACTGGGCTTACAATAAGATTTCCCTTTATGCATGTTCATCGATTTTAAGTACTGTTTATAGATTTCAACATAGTACTCTGATTTTTATTGTGCCACATTTTTCAAGATGTATATTTTCTGTAATGATAAAATTATCTGTAGAAAAAGCATGACCTTTCAGTCATATAATTGTGTTCTTTGTTTTTCCTCCTTAGATACGTTTTTAGGGCAGCCTTGTGGATGGCCCCGGAGCAGGCCCGATGGAAGAGGAAAGAAGTCACCATGATGAGGGCAGTAGATTGAGTCCATTCCTAATACAACCATTGCCTGCTTGCCAAAACAACCCAGCAAAGCTACAAAATGGAGAGCTACCAATGGAAAATGCCCCACCCCAAGTTAATGGAGAAAGCTGTTTATCAACTAAAAACAGCTGCGATGTCACCCACATGAAGGGAAATCAGGAGTGTTCTGACCTCACACATGAAAACAGCGTGTATCCAAATATACATAATGGTGCAATAAAGCGCACACTTAGTGAGCCTTTGCTATCTGATTTCCTCCAACTGAAAAAAATCAAAACAGTTGGGGAAGAGAATGGAGAAAATGAAGGTGAATTAAATGGCAAGTACATCCAACCAAGTGTGTCTGACTTCTGTAGCAAAGACGAAGCTGTGAGAACAAGAAAACAGGAAAATCCAAGTGTTCATGTTCCCAATGAGCAGAACAAAGACCTTAATTCCCACAATGGCAACATTGCCTTGTCTAATAAAGATAATGCAATGCCTAATGGTGCTACTGTTTTTGCCTCTTCCATGAAGCTTACACATGCTGAACTCTTGGAGAAAACAGGATCGCAATATTATCCTGAAAATGTTTCCCTTGCATTGCAGAATACCACACCTCACTCGGTTGCCATTAACACTCTAAACGATGCTAGTAAGGACTTGTCTCCTCAGACAAGTCAATCTTCACATACCTCAGGGCAGATCACTTCCCAACTAACCTTGAACTCGGTGCTGCCTCAAGGGCCAGATGCTTTGGCTACTGAGGCTCCTAACAGTGACAACTGCAGCGAGCCAGCTGTAAAACCAGGAAGCTACAAACATCACATGCAAGAACAGCAACCACTTCCACAGGAGAAGCCAAAACTTAACTCCCAGGACTTACCTGGAAGAAACTGTGATGCTGGTGAGCCTGATCATCAGATTTACTCTACCGGTGCTTCTTACCACCTCCAGAATAACAAACCTGATGAAAGGTTTTCAGAGTCTTTCAGTAAGGAACGTTACAATTTATTGCAAATGAATAAGTTATTATTTGCCCAGGAAACTGACAGTTACCGTTCCACCCCAAACATATGTGATGGCAGTTTTTTAAATTCTCAGTCCAATGGAACATGTCAGTCAGTTGATCCGAGAATTACTTCTCAGTCAGATTTTATGCTTGCTCATAATAGCAGAACATTGTCCACCAATGCACCTCCTTCACTTCACTGTTCAGCAGGAGGAGAACCACCTTCAGAAAACAGTGGGCAGAAAAAAATGACCTTTGAGAATCATTCAGAAAAGCAAAATGAGCATACCATGTCACAAAAAGGGAGAGATCATTGTAATGGAACATCTGAGCGCAGTAGGGGTATGGAGGAGCAAAGAAACCCCTACATGAAGTCAAACTGGACAGACTTTCGTTCCAATCATTTTTTGAAGGAAGATTCCTCGAAATCAGAAGACTTACTAAAATTATTATTGGACTCTCAGTCAGAAAATCAAAAGAGGCTTAAACAATATACAAGAAAACAGGGTAGTACTAGTCAAAATCTAGAGAGTACTGTGCCACAGCCTCAAGGGCAACATCTAAATTTCCAAAAGCACTTATCACAGGCAACAGGTAGAGATACTCAACGGCAAAGCTACGATCTTAAAAACCAAGGTAGTCCTTTTTTTCACTTGTACTCAGATAGGCAAACTGGGCATATGTTTGACCAAACATTAAAACAGCACTTAAACCCGCAGAAAATGGAAAATGAACAATTTCCACACAAGATACAACAAACACTGCACCAACAGGTTCTGCATTCAAAACCATGTGAAAGTCCCCAGTACCACCAGGACCAACTTTATCATCAGAGGCCAAATCAAGATTTTACAATGGGCATGGAGCAGCCACCACACAGTCGTAGCCAGACTCTGTTCGGAAATACATCAAGTAGATCAAGCCCACAAAATCACTTAAAATTAGAGGAGAGCAGTCAAGTAGCCAGTCAGTGCCAGAATTTCCATCAATACCATCAGGATCTAGAGAAGCAACAAAATTCAAGCAATGCAAACATGGCTTTCAATGCTAGTCAGTCTAATTCCCATAGAAAAGGGCAGTATATATCTGAAAATATAGAGGCTGGTAAAGGTAAAGTGGACTCATATCAGCAGTACTATCAAACAGAACGGTCTCTT